TAGGGGTAGATTTGGTCACAACGGGGCATGTTCTTCTAAGGTAGCTCTCACATGAGGGCTGGTTATAAAAGCCCGAGTCTGGATCCAACTCTCTGCTTCCTTGCTCACCGTGTGATCCTTCTGCTGAACATGCTCCACCAATGCTGTCTGCCACCCCCACTGGATGCCAGGCTAACGAGGGCCTGATCTTGGACTTGACCCTCCAAAACTGTGAGCTAAATGAACCTTTTCTCTATAAAGGTAGGTGCTTCAGGTACTCCATTGTAGCAATGGACATCTGACTACACTACTGTACAATGTAAAGGTAAATGCTAACATTTGTGTTAATTATCTAAAACTTCAGTCAATTTTACTTAAAATGACATTAAACAGATAATTAACACTACATGACACATTAGGAAACGGAACACAGAAGGAAGTAAAAAGCTTTCTTTTACAAAAAGAACCTTGCATTTTTTGCTCTTCCATGTACCTTCAATTATTTGTTGTTTTGACTTTTTCAAGGGATAATTGGCACAGAGAGTTCATTAAAAATATAAATAAAACTGTGATATCAAACTGAAATGCCTAATGTAAACCAGAACCATAAATCTCGTAGTTGAAAGTGACGACAAAATGTTCCTGGTTACATGGAACCTGTGGGGCACTGTGCTTTAAAATGAGAACCTGTCTCTGCTGTTGAGCATAAAAGCCTTACTTCTGATTTGGTCATTCCCAGGGTTTTAGAGATAAATCAAACATGACCTTGTCTGTTTAGTAATACGTAGCATGGTTTAGTAGAGTTTAATTTGCATATCTATATGGTTTAGATGTCCTCTGTCCTCCCAAAGAGTTACATGTTGGGAGCTTGGTCCACAGGGTGGTGCTATAGGGAGGCAGTGGAACTATTAAGGGTTGAGGACTAATTGGAGTGCCTTAGGTACACACGCCCTTGAAAAGAATTAAGGTAATTCTTGTGTGATTTCTTGGGAGCTCTCATGAGAGGGTTACAAAAGCATAAGCCTTAGGGCGGGTTTGGTGCAGGAGTTAAGCACCGTTCGGGATGCTTACATCCCATATCCAAGTCCCAGCTCCACTGCCAATTCCATTTCCTGTTAACAAGCACCCTGGGAGGCAGCAGTGACAGCCCAAGAGTTGAATTCCTGTCACTCAAATGGGAAGCCCAGGATTTGGTGCTTAGCTACTGACTTTGGCCTGGATCAGCCTGGACTGTTACAGGCATTTAAGGAGTGAACCAGTGCAAAAACAAACAAACAAAAAAACCAAAACCCTAACTTTCAAGTGATAAGAACAGAAATAAAAGCCTAAGCCTGCCCCAACCCAGGGTTCTGGCTTCCTGTGTCATGCTGTGACCACTTCCTCCCACGCATGCTTCCACCATTTGCCATCTGCTATGAGGTAACACAACCAATGCCCGTTATATTGTTTGGCTTTCCAACTCCAAAACTGTGAGCTAAGTAAGCCTATTTTCTTTATGAAGTTAGCCTGTCTCAGGTATTCTGCAGTAGGAGTTCCTTTGGTCAGTGGGGTCATGCATGGACTAACAAAATCTCTCTGAGTGTACAGCAAGTGACAAGAGCATATGCATGTCTTCAGCTTGGCTGTATCTCCATCATGATACATTGTGCCTGGCTTAGAGTCAATGCATGTTAATGGATTTTGAAAAAAATTAAACCAAATAATGACATCACAGCCTTCTGGTTCATTTATTTCTTGCCTACCTATGACTTTGTATTTCCACATAGTTGAGGAGATGCCATGCAGATGAGGATAAAGCTAATTCACTTTTAACAATACTTTTCACATACCTGGAATCATACTACAGTATTTCACATGATTAAAACTTCTACTTCCAACCCTTGATGGTGGAAATCTTTATGTGTGATTCAAAAGGCATTTTTTCCCATAAGATTAGGAGAATCAAATCTGTCAGTACCAAGAGTGTGAAATCTTTAGAAAATGTGATTACTAAGCCTTAAAATTAAGATCCCAGGATATTTTCTAAAACTTTCAATATATTAACCTTGCATGTGGTGATTTCAAATCTCTCCCTACAGGGTCATGCAAAAAAGGTAAATTTACTTGGGTAATTCAGTTCTCTTACTTTGCCAACCAAGAATAGTGTTTTCCATGCACGTAACCAATAAAAACATGAAATAGAAGATTTTATAAATTTAAGTATCTACAGAAACCAAAGTAAATCATGAGGAAAAATGAAAAATGTGTTTTGTTTGATCTTTCTATGCTTATGTGTTAACTACAAATTGTCTACCTTTCCAGCGCACCTGCTGTGTGGTGCCCCTACCATGCTGCTGTCTTATCTACCTACTAGAAAATACTCTCCTCCCTTCCAAACGAAATCTGACCTATAAGCCAATGTCCAGCTAATGATCTCCTCTCCTTCTTTATGATGCTTTCCTCATTCATTTGGCCTTCAAAATTTGTCTTTCCTTTACATTCATACAGTCTGTATCTTATATTCCAAGTCACCACTCAACATTTACCTACATTCAGCTTTATATAACTCTACATTCTTTTAATTGATCACTTAACTATAATGTGATTCCAGTAGGATATAACACAACTGATAAATTTCATGAAAATTGAGGTCATATGATATTGAAGTACCCTCTATGGCATGAAAGTTTGCTTTGAGGAAGAAAAGCTGTCCACAATTTTGAGTAAATGAATGAATGTGGTTAGTTTTTACTGTGCCACATTCCATAGAATATGAGGGGGAGGACAAGATACAAATAATTGTCATATAGAGTGTACTAAGAGACAAAATGATAGAACTTCTGGGAGAGACCAAAAAACTCATGAGAGTCCAAATAGTTATATAGATACTGTTAAAACATTTGTGAAGGACTTTCAAGCCATTGAACTCTGCATTCATTCTTCTCAGAGATTAAATAATCTTTGGGATTTGGCCTAAGACAAATATCTAACTCTATTTTGGTATTTTTTTTTAATCTTATGTCATTTCTAGAAATAGCCAAGTGTTTTTTGTCATTTATAAAACCATTTAGTGAAAACTACAAAAGTGAAATCAGATTACATTGCCATTTGGGGAGCTACAATTGAATGAGTTGAATTTTTAGAATAAATTCACTTTCACAACAAAAAAATTGAATGAATGCTGTGTTAAGCAGAATTAAGTAGTTACCCATGGAACTGAGAAGATAAGTCCTGTACGTCTGGACACAGTAAGAGACTGGAGACCACCGCTCCAAATCTCTGTGGGTTGCCCCCACTTTTTTCTTCCCCAGAAAACTCCTAACCTTGACATTTTTTTACTTTTAATTTCTGTGGAAACATTGGCTACGTAATTCTATTTGACTTTTAAAAAGTGACAAAATGTAACTCAGTATTTTCAAAGTGGGTTTCTTTAGGATTTTTTTCTCGCTTTCTTAAGGATAGTCAGTAGGTGTTTCGACAATAGGACAACTGAAAATGAAATGGGAGCCATACTGCTTCAGCCTGATCCAGCCCCAGCAATTGCAGGAATTGGGGGAGTGAACCAGGAGATGGACACAGTTCTGAGTTCTATCTGTCTGTCTCTGTTTCTCTCCCTCTTTCCATTTCTCTCACTCTCGCTCTTGCTTTCTTGCTCTCCTTCATAGATAAAAAACAAATAAATAAAAAGTCTAAAAATACTGAAGACTTGATTCAATTACAGTGTGAGGGAGGTGGTTCTAATGGGAGGTCCTTGGGTCACTGGAGACAGGCCCTTGGAAGATAGCTCCCAGGAAAAGGTTGGTTTTAAAGCTGAGTTGGGCCCATGCTATCTGACTCTTGGCTCACCATGTGATCCTTCCTTATATTTGCTCTGCCATTCTCATCCATCACCCTCATGAGACATCAAGCCAGTGGAGTTTGACTGATCTTAGACTGTGAACCTGCAAATCTGTGAGCTGAGATAAAACTCCTTCCTTTATAACTGCCTTGTCTTAGTTATTTAATTCTGTTGCTGAAAGCTTAGCTTCTGTCCCTGGTGCCAAATCAAAATAACGAGGATAAGGTTTGAGGGTACAGGAAAGAGACAGTTTAAACTATTAATAGATAATTTCCATTAACAAAGTGTGGACATTTTTAAAAAGACTGCTAACCCAGAATACTCAGAATAATTCAACAACTATATCCAACAAAACTGCCCTTCTAAATGAAGGAGAAATAAATACTTCCCAGATAAACTACACTTGATGGACATCATCACCACCAAACCTGTCTTACAAGAAATGCTACAAGACAAGGCTTCAGGTTAAGATTAAAGAATCCTAACCAGCAACATGAAAACATGTGAAAATACAGAGCTCTCTAGTACAGGTAAAGGTAAATACATATAAAGGCAAATACAGCATCCTGAAACACTGTGATGGTGGTTTTTAATCCTGGGATATATTTTAAAATATAAAAGCATAAAAATAATTATAACTATAAAAATGATATTAATGGATACAAAAGATACAATTTGTGACATCGACAAGATACAGTGCTAAGGGAGATAAAAGGAATAAAATTTTGTTTTCAATTGAAATTAAGCCGTTATTAGTTTAAAACAGAACTTCCTAAGTACTCATGTAATTCCAATGATAACTAAAAAGAAAATGCCTCCAGAAGATATACTAAAGAAAATGAGAAAGGTACCAACCATGTCACCACACACATACACACAAACACACACACACAAGCACACATACAATTTCTATAAAATACAAAGGAAAGAAGGAAGAGAGGAAAATAGGGGGAAACTAATTATAAGACATACAGAAAACAATGAACAAAATGACAATAGTAAATCCTTTCTTATCAATAACTATTTTAAATATAAATACATTGAACTTCCAAATGAAAAAAAAAATACAGAATGGTCAAATGGATAAAAAAAAGAACTAAATATATGTTATCTTCAGAAGTCTCACTTCTAATTTCAAAATACATCCATACAAGATAATTCATGCAAACAGTGGCCAAAAGAAAGCAGAGGTGACCATACTTACACCAGATGAATCAGTAATGAAGGATGACTGGAACATCCCTGTAGACCACCTGGACCCAATAGATAATAGATAGAACACTTCACCTAACAACAGTAGAATGCACACTCTCCTCAGGCACAAATGGAATGTTCTCCAATACAGATCTAGGTGAGCCCAAAAAACAAGTCTTAATAAATTTAAGCAGACTGAAATGATAGCAATATCTTTTTGAACAAAATGGAATGAAGTTGGAAATTAATGGATCAAGAAAAACTAGGAAATCCACATATTGAAATAGATGTGAAAACTGGAAATTAAGCAACGTACTCTTGAACAATCAAGGAGTCAAAAAAGAAATCACAGAGGAAACTAAAAAATACCTTGACAAATGAAAATACAACAAACCACAACTCATGGGATGCAACAAAAGCAGAACACAGAGAAGCTTTAAGTGGAAAGACCTACATTAAGATAGTAGAAATACATAAAATCAACAACCTAACTTTCTAAATCAAGGACTAGAAAAGAAACAAACTAAACCTAAAGATGACAGATGGAAGGGAATAGTAAGGACTAGAGTAGAAATGAACAGAATAGAGAAAAGAAAATTGTGATGGAACTGAAAGCGGGATTTTTAAAAGAAGCAACAAAATGACACCCTAAGCCAAAAAAAGAGGAGGCTCAAATAATAAAGGTCAGAAATTAAAGAAGAAACATCACAATTCATGTCATAAAAATTAAATGATCACAAGATTATGAACAATTTCTCAATAATAAATTGCACAGCAAAGATGAAATGAATAAACTCAAAAAACATAAATCCTATCAGAACTGAATCAAAAATAAATTCTAAATATATATGCATATCTATATTTAGTAGAGGGATTAAATTAGTAGTAAAAATCTCCCAACAAAGAAAAGCCCAGGACAAGATGGCTTCACTGAAGAATTCTATCAAAAATTTAAAGAAAAAATAACATCAGTCCTTCCCAAACTTTTCCAAAAAATTGAAGAGGAACACTTCCAAATTAATTTCATGGGGCCAGCATTACCCTGATACCAAAATCAAACACAGATATGAGAAAGGTAACAACAGACCATCAGCCCTGCTGAGTAGTGATACAAAAATCCACATCAAAATACTAGTTAACTGTGTTCAATATTAAAGGAATTATACACCATGACCAAGTTGGATTTACTTCTGGAGTGCCAAGATGCTTCAGCACATGAAAATTAATCAATGCAGCACACCACGCTAATGCAATGAAACACAGAAACCACATGATCATATCAATTTATGCCAAAAAAAGCATTTGACAAAATGTTTGATCTCTTTTTTGATAAAGAACACTCAGTGAAGTATGAATAAAATTAAATTACCTTAACAAAAGACATATATGAAAATTGGAAAGCCCATGAATAACACATTCAATGGTGGAAAATGAAGTTTTCCTCTAATACCAGGAAAAAAGAAAGGATAGCTACTTTTGCCACTTGTATTCACCATAGTATTTTAAGTCCTAGCCAGGACAATTAAGCAAGAAAAAGAAAGGAAAGACATCCAAATTGGAAAGGAATAAGTGAAATTATCTGTTAATACAGATTGATGCTACAGGTGGAAAATGCTGACGATTACACTGAAAAGAAAAATTCTTTACCTCCAGAAGTTAAAGAATACAAAATTAACACACAAAGACAGTAGTATTTCTGGGCTTGCATTTGGGTAAAGCCATCACCTGCAATACCAGCATCCCACATAGGCACCGGTTTGAGACCCAGCTCCCTGTTAATGGCCTGGGAAAAACAGCGGAAGAAGACCCAAATGTTTGGGCCCCTGCCACCCACGTGGGAGACCCAGATGAAGCTCCTGGCTCCTGACTTCTACCTGGCTCAATCCTGGTTGTAGTGGGCATCCAAGGAGTGAACCAGTTAATGAAAGATTCTGTGTGTTTGTGTGTGTGTGTCCCTCTCTCTCTCTCTCTGTAACTCTGACTTTAACCCACTGCTACACTGCAAAGCTGGCCCCAAATAAACTTTTTTAAAAGTTGTGTTTCTATACACTAGCCACAAATAATCACAAAAAGAAAATCTTAAACACTTCAATAATTTACCATTGAAAAGAATGAAATAGGAGCTAGGACTGTGGTGCAGCAGGTTAAGCCACAGCCTACAGTGCTGGTATTCTATATGGGTGCTGGTTCGAATCCTGGCTGCTCCACTTCTGATCCAGCTCCCTGCTGATGCTCCTGGAAAAGCAGCAGAGGATGGCTCAAGTGCTTAGGTCCTGCCAGCCACGTAGGAGACCTAGAGGAAACTCCTGGCTCCTGGCTTCAACCTGCCCCAGACCTGAACGTTGTGGCTGTTTGGGGAGTGGACCAGCAGATAGAAGACACACCTGTCTGCCTTTCCCTCTCTCTCTTTGTAATTCTACCTTTCAAATAAATACATAAATATTTTTTAAAAATTAAACAAAATGGAAAAAAAACTAATCCAGTAGTTGAAAGACTGGAACCCTAAAAACTGTAAAACTTAGCTGAAATAAATATTTTATTTTATTTTATGTATTTGAGAGGTACAGCTACTGACAGCACCGGCCCCTGAAAGATATTTTAAAAGATTCAAATAAATTTACAGTAATTGACTGAAAGGCAGGACTTAAAGAGATATTTACAATAACCAATAGGTAGAAGCAACCAAAGTGTCCATTGGTAGATGAATACATAAAGAAAACACGGTGTGTACTTTCAAAGGAATACTATCAGCACTTAAAAAGTAGGAAATGCTGTCCTATGCTGCAATATAGATGAACCCTAAGAACATTATGATATGAAAAGCCAGTCACAAAAGACAAACACTGCATGATTCAACTTATGTGAGGGATCTAAAACAGTCAAAGCCTTAGAACCAGAAAGCAGCGTGGAAGATGCCAGGGGTTATGGTATGGGAGGAAGGAATATTGTTGCCTTATGAACATATAGGTCAGTTTTGCGAGATGGAAGAGTTCTGGAAATCTGTTAAATAATATTATGAATATAGTTATCACTACTGCACACTTAAAAACAGACAGTCGATTTTATATTATATGCTTCTTACCGGAAAAAAAAAAAAAAAAGGAACCTGGAATGCTATTAACTCTACAAGAAATGAAGTCCCTAAAAGGCAGGGGACATCGAATCACTATGTAACCAGAGCCGCCCATCAAGAGATTAATATTATCAAGTCCACCATGTCTTTACATTGGATAAGCACAACAGTCATACTTCATATAATGAAAATTGTACATTAAAACTTAGGTTCATGTATTTCCTGAGTGTATAAGTTACACACCGAGGTAGTCCTAATCCTCATGGTATCTGTGGCATGGACATTTCTCCATTATCACACAGTTACAGTCTTGTGAGAGATTTTCTTGGACCAGGTGAAAAAGGAAAAAAAAAAAATGTGTGTGTGTGTGTGTATCTGTTTCATGAATGAATCAGTTTAATATGTTTTCATAAGCTGAAAATGTACTGTTGCTACACTATAGACTGGCCTAGAAAAACAATTGAGAGGGAAAATCTTCCATGGTAGAAAAGCTTTGAACAAATACCTGGCCCCCAAATTTGTGCAGAGAGAATAGAATCTGACATAGATGGACTCCTGGACAGTGGAGAGGCTTGTGTGGTTTTCCAAGATTGGAAGACAATAAATAAAAAGTTCATGGGGAAAGCATCTGGCTCAGAGGTTACAACACCACTTGGGATGCCTGCCTGCCATATTGGAGTGCCTGATTCCAGTCCTGGCTCCTCTCCTTCAATTCAGCTTCCTGCTAAGGTGCGTTCTAGAAGGCAACAGGTGTTGATCATTGCTTGGGCCCCTGACACCCATGAGGAAGGACCAGATGGGGTTCCTGGCTCCTGGATTCAACTTGGCCCATCCTTGACTGTTATGAGTATTTGGGGAGTGAACCAGAGGACAGACGCAATCTCTCTCTCTCTGTCTCTCTCTCTCTCTCTCTCTCTATCTCTCCTCCCTCCTTCTCTCTCTCTGTGTGTTTCTGCATTTCAAATAAAATGAAACTAAATGAATAAAAATTTAAAAAGAAAATATTGGGGGGGATAAAGGAATGGATGTATGAAAGTGGGTACAAAGTGCATGGATCATTTTGTGCCCGGTGCACACTTTCAGACAGCATCTACCCTGCAGAGGGCACTAGTCAAATAAGATAGACAGAACAGCTCATCCAGTAGATGTCATCCAGCACTATCCTCAGTCACCCCATTATTGCAACATTGGTTCCAATATTTCATGGTGGCATGGGCTCGGCAGAACGGCTTCCCTCTCTTTAATGATGAACTCATTACTGCTGCTGCTGAAGAGAGCAAATACCAACCCTGAGCCCTAGTGCCATACTGTCACCCAAGGAGAAAAACCAATCATTTGGTGGCAAGTTGAGTGTGTCAGTGTTTTTCATTTTGAAGGAGACAGAAATTCAAGTGTACAAAGTAAGGATTGCCCTACCTGTCCACATTGCTTCAGCTGGCACAACTTTCTAAGGATCAGAGAATATTTGATTTACCAAAATATTTCCTCAAACTCAAAGAATCCATACTGTGGCATTGGAAATGTGGATCGTTGTGTCCACTGATTTTTTCATGAATAGCAAGTGCCAGCTTAACAGAACATTGAAATGGCTTTTTATAGATGCAGCTAAGACTCCAACTTGGGTATGACAGAAAGCATGGTTAGATGCTATTCTTCAAGATATAGAATACACTTTGAATTGGTGGCCATTATATCATCTTTGTCACTTATAGGATAAAAACATGGGGATCAGGAACCAAAGGATGAAGGTTGGAGTATCTATTCTTGTCATTAATTTCAGTGATGGTGACTTGTGCTTTCTATCCATACATCTCTACAGCAGGCTGTATTAGATTTTAGGTTCTATTACTGAAAAAGAAAACTTGGACCAGGGGACAGATTTCACTAAACTATCTCATTATTTGCAGCTTCTCCTGTCAATAGACCAAGAGGCAAAGAAAGAAACTACTACACTTATTACTGCACTGACTGGAGTATTTGACTATTATGAAGAGATGCCGTTAGGATAAGAAGAAGTATGTCTAGAACATACAGGATTCACTGGGTGTGACTTGGCACTCAACATCCA